GACTAAAAATTAATTAATCTAATCCAAATGTTTGCTAGAAAAACGACAAACTAAAATAAAAACTGCAATAACACTGACAACTACTATTTTTACCAATAATTGAAAACCAACAAAAATAATAGGGAAACGTTGAATTGTATATAGTATAATTATTTTGTATTACAGCAGTTGAAATAAAAAACATTATTATCGCGTGAAATCATCAATGATTTTCTTTTTTAAAAGTATGAACATGAAAAAATATAAAAGATAATAATACAAATATACATTCTAGAAGTGAAAAATTCCAAAATATGTATATTTATATAATTTTCAAAATAAAATTACAATTATGTGATTTATAGCCAAGACGGTTTTTGAACGTAAATTTATTTTTCTTGCTCTGTGCTTCTTTGTGGTCGTTTAAACATATCAAATATTAATTATTATATTATATTAAATATTAATTAACTTACAGTTTACGTTGTTAAGTGGATTTCGTAAAAATAAATAATTGGTACCTATAATAATATAATATAATATATATAATATATAACCTATAATAATTGGTAATTGGTATTAATTGGTAATAATTTGGTAATAATTGGTATGTATATTTTTCTCGTTATATTCTGTACAATAACAATACATATATTGCAATAATATTAATATATTGTGGTAAAGGATTTTCAGTATTTTTTTATTCAAGAAGTACTACGCATGAAAAAATTCTCAACTAAAACGGTTTTATCCGATATTTAACGTAAAAATCTAAGAAAACAAACATTTTAAATTATTATAAAAAAACGTAAAAATTTAAAAATATTTTAAAAATGATTTTAGCTCTGTTGAACGGTCATATTAGAATTCAATGAAAATAATATTCTCAAGTTCTTACGGTTATTATTTTCTGAGTTGCAACGAGAAACATATTTGATTTTGTTAAAAAACGTGATTTCCTGTACATTTTTATCAGTTTATATCTGGAAAACTATTGATAGATTTATAAAATGATTTATGAAAAATGCTCTGATTATAAAAATATTTCCTATCAAGGACTGGAGAAATCGTGCATAAATATGAAAAACATTCACACATACTCACATTAATAGGGAGATCATGGTAAAACCAATTCATTCTGGGGTTGTTCGAATCGATTTTGCAACCGGGTCACCTATTATACGTTTATAATATAGTGTATTAAGCATTACACGTTACGTACCTGTTGAAACACATCTAGCAATGCGATCACGACCCACCCTGTGTATAACTGTATCCGTTCTCGGACAGTGTCCACGCGTGACGTCTGAAGCTGTATTCGCAATCGTTTATAACGCAGAGCATTCGAAACACACTTGCAGCTGTTTTCAGCTGCTTTTCCTATACTGTCACGGAAACGTGACGCGTCAGGACTAATCAGAATATGGAGTCGAGGACGTATTAGAACATGCCGACATGCCGTATACTATCAATATAACGCGCTATCTGTATTCATGTGTGGCTCTACAGTCCGGTACAATCGAACCAATATAGAGTGTCACCCGAATATATTATACCTACCCATTACGATGTCTCCTCTGATAATGCGATTTCTGTGTATGATTTTTATTTTTACATTATTTGTAAGGATAAGTACAATAAATAATCATATTTTCGTTAAATGTTTGTGTTTCGATGAACAGTTTTAAAAATTAGCTAGCTAAATATTTTACAGCATTTATTCACGCACTTTAACATTTCAACTTTATTTTTTAATTAACCTCATGGTTTTCAATACTTATTTTTTAATTTTTTTATTTATTTTTTTTTGTTTTTGTAAACTATAGAAAAATATTGTATTATCTTATCTTGTTTTCAGATGAGTATTGTTTTAAAATCTTACACTACATTTTTGCACAAACTAAAAAAAAAAAAAAATTAAATTAAATTCATAAGTTTAATGAAGAATAAAATTTACATAAAATGGCCGACTCCGAATATCTCGAAATAATAAGATTAAAGTATTTGATATAAATTCTGCATTCAAATGTAAAAATTTAATTGAAATATGATTACAGTTTTGTAGCCCTAATCAATGTAAGTCTTGTGAGAGAAATAGAATTTTAAAATCTTTTCATTACCTCGGAAATCAGATCAGGTATTGAAATACGGGTACATCCTCGTAGGACATCCTCCGTATGCCTAGGCGCGTGTACCACGAAGTATCGTGTTTGTTCGCTAAAAATTCACTGATCCGGAGTCATAGCAGGGCAGCAGTGTTTCTCGAGTAGTCGAGTGGGCTCGGCGCACAGTGGCAAATTTTAAGAACGACGACGACGATTTCTAATCAATTACAGCGTTCGATCGTTCGAGTGCATGAGTAAAACGAAATCGTACGCAGCAGATATCGCGAGATTGTCAAAAGTCCATTAGTTGGTTGTATTGTGAAATATTTTTCTTTACTTACCAATACTCCGTACAGGAAATATTATTTATCCATATCGAAAACGTATTAATCTTGTAGGATGACGGAAACCATTTCCAACTGCGAGTACATTAATGTGGTGACGCAAAATATCTCGTTTTGAGAATAAATCTCATTTTATTTGAATAATGATTTGAACAAAAAAAAAAAAAAAAAATAAATAAAATATATTAGACAACATTGTAGATATACATCGAAGATGATGACATTGGTAACATCATATCGTTATGGTAATGTCAAGCAAAGACATTTTTAGTGTCAAAATATTTTTTTGAATTATTTTTTCATGCGAGAAACTCCATTTCCGTGTCGACGTAGCATGATACACTAAAAGATTGTTTAGTTGTACATGTCCCCATGCATCGTAGAAAACGTAATTTTCGCCGTGATATAACGTGTGTAAAACTCTTATTGACAATTTTTTAGTACCATATACGCTGATACACTCGCAGTACGAATCTTTACGGTGTTTAGAGTACCTAATAAAAAAAAAAAGAAAACCACCGTACGACTTCGCGGATCTAACCTTAACTGTTTCGTCCGAGACACTTATTTCCGTTATATCCGGTAAGGCGTCCCTTGATGTATGACGACTAAAATTGATGATTTGAACGAATTTATTTCCATTCGATTACTGTCTTTGGCGTCCGTCTCGCGGGCACCGGATAAGTCGTATAAACAGCTTTTAATGACTGATAACGTTTAGTACACGGAGGGACCGCGACGTGTAGACGTACGCGTGGGATGAGCTACTTGAGCCCGCAGACTTACCTCTGTCCCGGGAAATAGTTGAAGGGCGCGTTGGTTTAGTAATGTCTCCAATACAGGTGTTACGGAAAGAAAGAAAAACCAAAATCGTCATCGTATTGAGTGTTTATAGTTCGTGTGACTATATATTATAAAATTATCCGAAATAATTTTTATGGACGGTCGAATTTTCAAATTCTGTTATTCGTCGAATCCACATGTGTACTAAATTTAATAATGTACAAAGAATATGTTTGAACGTTAATGACGATCAAAATAGAACCTCTCACAAGTAATAATAACAAGATACGATAGGTATAAATTATACTTCATCGCGCGAAACAGTATGCAAACAAATAACTGCCTTACATACTTGTTAACCTATCCTATATTGTAGGTATATTATTATTATTAATAATAATAATAATATAATTAAATACTAAAATTTATAACGTTTTAAACCATCGTTCATATAATTGTTTATGCAAATGGGCGTGAGAAAAATTAAATTTTTATATGAACCCGGTCTGACAAAATTAATTCGCTAAATTAATTTGGTCTTGATCGGGATTCGGAATTCACTCACACCTCTGGGTTTGTTTCAAAAGTTTAACGAGATTTGTTCGTGACTTGTCTGCTCAACTAGATACGAAGATAATGACTGGATTATGATCGAAACAATGAACAAGGATATATTTATTCGTAAAATAAAATTTTCGCATCATTATTATATTCACCGGTCAAATAACGCGTTGTTACTAAATCAGTAGGGTTACATAGAAGAAAAATATGAAATAACCAACATTTTCTTCTATGTACATATTTTTTTAGGAACTAAAGAGTTATTGATTTGATATTTTCTATTTCACTAAAAAAAAAAAAACACTTTTGCGATACAATAAAAAAATACTCATTGTTTACACTTCACACTTTTTTTCTGATGGTTTAAAATCGGGCGTTGGTGATACATACAGTTCAGAGTTATTGGAATTTTTCATTGGATTTCGAGGATAATGTTAAGAACTGTACGTGAAACGTTACAAATTTAGACAGTTTATTGCGGATAAAACGATAAGGTCTATTTTTGAACAGAACGTTAGTTTATATTAACAAAAAAAAAATAAAAATAAGAACTTAGCTGTCTATAATAGTCTATATATTTTTTAATGAATTTCCATAAATAAATAATTGTATTTTGTAGAAACTCTGCTGAGCCGCTTAAAGTTTTTAAATCGACACATACCCATTATTGAAAATCGAGCATTAATTAAACTATTTTTCTGAAATGCCACGGTTCGTAATTGATTTCCGCTTTATGGTAATAGTACAATACTTTCTCGACGAGCGAAGCCATGTAAATATATAATATATAAGACTTCCAACCTTGTGCAGTCTTAATCCCTTCCACTTTTTTCTTTCTCATGTATAAATGATGTTTATTCATTAATAGGATTTCCATACGCGAAGAAAATGTAATTTATTAAAACGCAATGAAAATGTTTTTATCACTTTGTTGATATTCATTATTTATTTATTTACTCTCGTAAAATTGAAAATCGTCGAGTCTCATGGATTATTCGTGAGTATGGTATAATTTAAAAGCTATCGAATTGTTGAAAAATCGTACGCGTTTTTATTTATCACTTATTCGTTTCTTACAAAATAGCTACGTCGAAATAAATATGCACTGCGTTATTATTACTACTGTTTTTATTACAACTTAACCTAAACGAATGTGACATTATTACTATTGTTTACCGTAAATATTAACATATCATAATACTGGAAATGTTTGAATTCATTTCAGGATTAGTTAAGCTTGGCATCCATTGCGTGACCGGGAGAAACGTGGCGATAAAAATCATCAACCGGGAGAAGCTGAGCGAATCAGTGTTGTTGAAGGTAATTATGTTTTTGATTTTATTAAGCGCACCCGAGGCTGATCACCCATCGTAACGCGCGCGCGAACGATTTAAGTGTGTAAAATATATATATATATATATATATATATATATATATATATATATATATAAGTTCAAATTATTCAGTTGCTACGATTTCGATTACATGCGCACTTGCTTAAAATATTCGAGTGGTTGTACAACGTAGTTGGGTTAAGAACTACGGAATTGTACGTTAAGTTTCTGAAAATGAAATAAAACTGATTCATAACGCAATTATCTCCGTCATGGGTACTATACACGCAATTATGTTTAATTGATCATAGTGATATTTATTAACATGACGATTTACGAACCCCTAATTTGTGTGCTGACGACTTCATACAAACTACTTTACGTCTGATCGTTCCGACATTATTAAAGAGTAATCATAAAAAAGGAGGACCTCATTTCTTCGGTGGATTTTCGAAAATTGAATTAAATCATGCGTCCTTGATAACTGACGGATAGTTTGAGCAAAGCAACGTAAGAAATTGTTATGGCTATAAAGTGTATATTCACATCGATAAATAAAATTAATAAGATACACAATATATTACGTATTAACTATAAGAAATAGTACCAGCGTGGAAAAAGTTTTTTTTATGAAACTAATGAGCTTGCAGTCCCTTATTGATTTAAAATAAGATTCGTTTCAGTTCTTCGTTACGCTTAGGAAATCATAACTTGTTCCCTATTTTCATTATAGTATTCAATAATTATTCTTTAAATTCGATCGAAGAGTTTTCATCGAGACTCGAGTATGGTTGACTGTTTTATATATATATATGTATATGAGTAATTACTTTAGTGATTAATATTGACATTTTTGAAACACGATTTTATAAAAAGAAAAATTATAAACTTTATTTCAGATTATCGAAAAGAGCTTACTTTCTAGTACCTTTATTTGAAAAAAAGTCTTAAAGCTCAGTGTCAGAAAACATTTTTTTTTTTTTTTTGTAATCGATGGCAAAACGATTTATAATATTATTGGAACGACTAATTTCTAGTTGAAATATTGCATTAACAGCGTTGTGCATAATCATTTTAAAATAGCCAACATAATTAAAAAATGCGTCTAGTGATCTTACTTGATTAACATTGCAAGTGCGTACTACATGCGTAAATAATTCAATAAAGCGTTTTAATTGCTCATAAGGTTTTTTCGACTGTAATTATACTGGTCAGAACAAAAAACAAAATTAAAAAACATATTTTTTTTTATGTTTATTACAAATCACCTAAGGAGTAAATAGTTAACAAGACCGAACTTAAGTGAATGGGTAGATTATAATAGTTTTATGTGTATGACACAGTAATCCTTCCAGTGAAGTTGATAGAGCTATATTTTTTCAAGAATAAATAATGTTCATAAAAAAAATACATTTTCAAATGTAAATCTAAAAATTAGAACGCAGATGTGTTTTTATAATAATTCAAAAGCTTGAATGTTTAATGAAAACCTGTGTAAAACTATGCACAGAGCATTATTCTATACAAATTTGTGAAAATAAATCGTGAATTCTTTTTTAAACGTTGGCAATAATTATAATTTGTAGATCACATTTTTATAAACTTAAAAACATTGCTTTATTTTGGCAGTTCGTACGATTAATTAGATATTCCGGATTTTTTCAAATTCATCATTACACATAACTATTCATCATAACCTGAAAATGCATACCAACCGTGGTCGGCTATATTCAGGGCCTACTCGTATGTTCGTCGGGATGTAATTTAGTATCCATGAATCCACTTGACGAGTTTCATTTCTTCGTTATCGTAAATAATACTATGAAAATATGTTCAGAACGGTTTTATTAAGATTCTATTTTTCCAACACCACGAATATTGTTCGTCCATCCCCTGTTGTGATGTAGTTTGCGTTCCAAACGGTTTTTCTCCTCCGCAAGCCCGCTATGTATTTACAATGCATCGATATCAACCGCAGACGACGGCTAGTAATAATAGAAATAATAACAATCATAATATCCTCGAGGCGCTATATGCTCATCAGTATTTGAAACAAAACGTACGCCGTTCCGCGAGTTAGGTCTACCAAATCCCGACACCCTCGCGTGGTATCGAAATGCCGTCAAATTGCCGATCAATACGTAATACTTCGCGATATCCTCACGCCATAACCACGCAGCATTAATGTTGCACAATACTGTTATAAGTTCTGTGAAAATGTATAAATCCCGTAAGTCCTGCTTAATACACGTGTCGTTACCGCGTAATCGACCGCAACAGCGCCGGCCACGACCAGAGTTGGTGTGCATAAACGGTATTATTCCGATCGGGTACGATTGAACCGAACGGAATACCAGTCGACGACGTCGGCACAAATATTATTGTTTCGTCTACGGTATGGCAGTGGAGCTGCCACGTCCATTCCGAGTTGGTCAGATAATCAACCTGATGAGAAAGGAGGGAAGATGATCCCCCCAGGGCCCAGAAATTATAGACTACAAATTATTAAAAATTAAACACAATTTATGATAAGAATTTAATGAACACTGCAGAAAAAATTAAGATATACCTTAAGATATACGCCCCGGGCCCGGGTTTCTCTCTCTGTGGCCTTGTAGATAGTACGCGGAAACACACGCGGGGAACAAGTACGTAAAAACTCAAGTACCGATCGCGTGTTCTGCGCGTTAAACGACGTTAACGTTTCGTGCCCGAATGAAAAACGAAAGAGTGCAACGGGGATACGTATAGGTAGTGTGAAACTCGGATTTCCGTTGCCGAATACGAATGCGTCGATACGCATTAGATATTCTTCGGTGGCATTTCGGAAGTCAAACAAAAGTCGTCTGGCTTCCAGCGACGTGCCGGGGGAACGGTGTCTGGGAAAATAAACCTGCGAGTCAAAACATTAAAAACATAAAGGCAACAATGCCGCGCGGTTGGCAAACAAACTGCGGGAAGAAGCACTCGCAGCATTCCGGAATCCAGTATAATACGAAAACAAATAATAACAAACGAGACGTCGTCACTATTGTATGATAGTCGATCTTCGACTGCATTCGGATCCGTTCCTTTACGACCGGACCACATTACAAGTTCAAGAATTATCGATTCCTAATGCTAACTCCTAATCGACCCAAAGACGACCGTGTACGAACACGGTCGTCTTTGGGTCGCACTAAGTGATTCAGAAAAATCGTTTTGAAAAACATTGTTTTCTCTCCAAACATTATATGCATATACACACGTTCGTTTACATTTGCCATGTTTATTTTACGTGAAAATCGCTATATGAGTATGCGTGAGTGATTTTCTAATAATATCCCTGAGGTAGGGAATGAACGGGTCATAAATTTTAATTACGTAACGAGTCAATTTTTTTTTTTTTTTTACAGTTAGATACTGTTTATTTAACGAGTTAAATAAATAGTATCAAATTATGGTCACTTAATATGTTTCCTAATCAAAATTCTGGAATTTTATTTTTTTTCTAATTGTTTCATTGTTACTAATAAAAAAAAATCGATATTATAAGAGTCGAATACATTATTTCATTGGAAATCAAAATAATGTACAAACATTTCATTGTTGTTAGATTAAAAAAAAGAAATTACCTACTTATTATTAACTGACTAAAGTTAATTTTTTTCTGTATTATTAGGAACTTTAAAATTTTATTAACTTTATTAAAGAAGAGAAATAATTTTTAATTTTATACTCAATTTACGGTTCTTTAGATTAACTTATTAACGAGTTAAATAACATGTTGAATTAACATGCTTAACCTTAAATGTTCTAGAAATTCATGTATAAATAATTTCCTGTTATAATTTATACGAGTACCTATATCCTTTTTTTTTGCGCCGACATTTTTGGATGTTAACACAATTATGGCATTTTATTATAGCTTACATTATATTATAAGAAGTGTCCACAAATTTTTTGGTATAACCGTTTTTCGATACCCTAAAGCGTACATAATGTTTCTACTTTTAGATCGTATTCACTGTACGGAATACTAATAATTATAATCTATGTAGTGACGTATAATACTATTTCACGTATGTGATCATTACGAAGATTAAATTGAAAAAGTGTGCGAGTGCGATAATCGTTCATAGCATATTATACAGACGGAGACGCAGAATTTAAACTAAACATTGTTAATGAATTCTAGAAGAAACAATTAGATTTAGTGTGATTGGTTTTTTTTTAAAACGTTTAGGGACTATATATCGAACATAAAACAAACAATATTCCTTAATTATAAATTAAAGAAAATAAGAAAATAGTGATAATAACTTGATACGATTAGGATTGAACTAGGTTCATATCACTATTTGTGAGTAAAAGAAAAACAAAATAATAATGGACGTATGTAAAAAAAAAAAAACTCGTAGTATAGTATTACATTTTAGGTCAAATTTGGGTTGCTCTATATTATAGTTTTTATTATTTTTCGAAAATTATGACCTCACAAATTTATTATTTTTAATGTGTGTAGACGCATAAATTATAACCAATGCCATGTGTTTTATTGATTGTGTGATTCAAGGAAAAATTACATTATTTTATAATCATTGGAACAAATACTTATTAAATCTATAAAACTAATGCAAAAAAGTAATAAAGAATAAAAAATGAAATAAATCTAAATTATTTTAATAATCCGTAAAAGAATTAAAAACAGAACGGTTAGCGATTATTATTGTTATAGTATTGTTACAATTTTTCAGTAACCATATCCCATTAGATTAATGTAATTTAATATAATTGGGTATAGTAACTGAAAAAATTCTAAATTATTCTCATCAATTATTAAAAATATTAACTTTTTTTTTAATAATTTTTTGTCGATGGCTTACAATCTTTTTTTAGATTTTACGTTAATCTAAAAAAAATGTAGAACTTATACCTAGCTTTTATTCAACCCATTAAATCAAACATAACTAGACAAAACCAAATTAGTAACAATAGGTAAAAATATAATTAAAAATAAATACCGACCTCAACTGTTTCAAATACGTAACGAATTCCGTAGGAATAATATTAAATAGAGACAAAAAAAAATTATAGTTAATAATTAAAAAAATTAATCTTATTCTACGTCGTGTGAATCAAGTGAACGTGTACGTCTACGAGTATTACTTCCGGAAAAAGACAAATCCCGATAGTTTGTCTATTGATCAACTCGTTATAATATAATATTGTGTTCGTCGAGAATAGCTGGTCGATGTTAATACGCGTGTCAAACCCGGCGAAAACCTGCGCTTCGATTATCGTATAAAGTATACGGACTCTGAACGTAATTTCACGGCATGGTGAGTATTATTAATACGCCATGAGCACGCTGCTACGCGTTTGACCGTATTATTTGATACGTATTTTAAAATACACGATCAACTCCGCTCGTGTGGCGTTCTACGTTTTCACACAGGGTTGGTTTCTCAGCGGAACGGTCGTCAGCGGGGGCGCAATACGGGGTTCGTTGAAGCAACTGCTCCATGGCTAAGACGGGGTGGGCGGGTAAACGACAGTAGCGTATAACAGAACATTTTAAAATGCATCGCTTACACGTTTAACGTAAAATATTATCATACATTATTATGTTTGGACCCATTAATTGTAATTACCTATGTGCTTACGAGCACGTTTGAACTCTGGATCCAAAAATTGGGATGGGTGCTCGATACAAGTGACTGCTTCGTTGGAAAATTATCTTCACGCCACCTCTGACGGTCGATTTGGAACAACTGTCGCGGTCAGGTTAACGTGGGAAAAGTCGAAAGGGTCGACGAGATTAAATATTTTTCGTTTTCGGTGGTGCACTCGCGGAAGCCAGAAAGAGATCGAAGCTGGCAAGGGGCGGAGAAAACAATGTAAAATAATACGTGCATACCGCCAAAAGCAAAACGCAAAACTGTTAGTTTTACGTGAGTTATGATATGTTTTGTGCGTTGTTCGCTTGCAGCGAGTTCGGATAATACATTACACACTCAGTCGGCACGGACGATTGAGCGAGCGGTGAAAATATGACAGACGGCTTAAAGTCGGAGCTGATACCTGAACCGTTATACTCGATCGAAATGCAATGCGTTCAAAATATAATTATGATTTGTAATGTGCCAGAAGTAAACACTCGACGTTTTCCGTTCATTCTGCAACGAACCCTCAAGTGAACAATTTTCTTTTGGCCCATTTTAACCCATCCAACTTTTTAAGCCCGCATTATAATTGAGACGATTTTGATTTATTTTTTTTACAGATGTTAAGGTGCAGTTAAAATGTTATACCCTTAATGTATTATAAATGTAATCAATAGTATTTTATGCCGCGTGCGTTTATTATTATAATAAGCTTAGATGTTTTTCTTTCGTGGACCTAAAAATCATTATTTGTATTAATACATGTAATAATAATCATTATAGAAACTAACGTTACGCGAGTGGAGTATTGGTACTGAACCACACAAGTGAACCGGCTACAGCGGTTGTTTGCTCAGTCGACCGTGCATAATATATGTTGTTTACGAGGTGTACATAGTTCGATTTAATTCGCCCGACTAATTGAAAACCACGGCATTAGAATGTTATAAAGGTTAATGTACAAATATGCTTCCCGTATAATGCAATATATCGCAAAGCAATATTATCCCTTAGATAATGTCTATCGATGTTATGATTAAAATAACGCGTATTTCATAACCGCACAAGTAGGTAACGATTGTTGTAAAGTTATGCGCATCACCCGTCAAACTATTTCACTTTCGTCGTGCGTTTCGTATCGGATACGTAATCCGCCACTATGTGCTCATATCAAGCATTTAAAACTGGTAAATTTTATCGTAGATTTCGGTTAACGGGTTAAAGCTGAGTTATATGTTCTCTAGGGTTTTGACTGAAAGGTTAAAACCGGCTTATAGATTTTATTGGGTTGGGTTAACGGATATAATTAAGGTTTGCTACTTAAATATTTACATTAAAAACATTAGATAGATTGACATAAATTAAATGTCAGTAAAACAATAGAAAGTTACTTGTCTATTGATAGTACTTTGGTAAAAATTTTGTTAGGCAGTAGTTCAAAATCCACAGTAAAGGACAATATACAAATTAAATGATAAAAATAATGACAATATTACAAATGAAAACAGTAAAAATTATTAACATTAAATACAAACATTTACCACACATAATTATTTTTTAAAAATAATAAACATTGTTGATTAACGAATATTCAGTCTAGAATGGATTATTCTTATTACCAGTGGTGCAGAAAGACTCGCTAGCGCCCCTGTAAAACTTAGAAAAAAACGCCTTTTTACCGATTAAAAAAATTATGTGAAGAAATTTTTTTTAATCTTTAATTTTACTGATTTTTTTTTTTACAATTTATATTTATAAGTTATTAATGCAGAGTACCTAAGCTTTGAAGTTTGTTTTTCTCGTTTTATTACTAGGGAAATCATTAACTGTTTCTTTGAAGAGAAATAAATATAGTATTAAGAATGTTAATTTAAAAAAAAAAACATGTATTTAATGTATGATAACAGTATATATATTTATATTTAAGTTAAAATGTCTTTATACTTAAAAAAAAAACTAACAGTTGCAATGAAACCTATAAACCAAATGATATTTTTATAATCTTCTCTATTACCCAATAAGTAGTACATCATCGGCGATTACGAATAAAAATTAAAAACACACATTTCAATTTTAAATTTCCATTCTTCGAGAATAAAGTTTAAAGATAAATTAAAATTGTACACCTGGCCTCAACATTATAAAATATTTGACTTACCTATTTATTTATTTCAAATTATTTTTATAATTTTACATGGTAAAACATTTTTAAATTGATTTCGATGAACTTGAACATCGGGTTTGAGTTGAAACTGAGTAGTTTTATTAGTCTCAGGGTTCCAGTTTTGGAAAAAAAAACGGATTCAATAATCTCTGGGTTTCAGTTCTTGGTTTTAAATTTTTCTGGGTTTCAGTCTCTTTCGATTACCTGGCTATGTATAACACGTTCACGGGCAGCACATAGGAGAATAAAGTTTATAGTGTGACCATATGTGGTTGTAAACAAACTTATATGAAAGGACGGACGACATACATAATATTATCACACCGTTATACCGTGGTTCGGGTTAATTTTACTGCCTCCCACTCGACATTAATCTAAACGTGGTTCAATGTTGTAGTACTAATTTACTATCGTTTCGTTTTACAGGTGGAACGAGAGATCGCTATCATGAAACTGATCGACCATCCACACGTTTTGGGTCTGTCCGATGTCTATGAGAACAAACGATACTTGTAAGTTAAATCGGTGGATAACACTATACTTCTCCGACGTTTATCGTATGATGTACTAATATATCACTATCATAAATCGGAATAATCCTTTCCGTATCGTAACACGAATAATATCATGATAACGTTTATCAGAGTATTTGAGAGCAAAATAAATTTAATTTTAGCACCTAGTGTTAATAATTCCTTTTTTTTTTTTCTTAAAACAAGCGCAATCGTCGACGCGACGACAAAATGTGAATATTTAATTCCAATTGAAAATAACGAATCAATTTTAATATTTGTCCAATTAATAAAATATCACCAGTGCAAAGAAAAGAAAAAAAATATGAGTATAATAAATATAAAGAAGTGTCAACGATTTCAATCGTTTTGTTGTTAGATCAGTACTCGGAAGGTATCGTTGTTGAATTTGAAGTCGAAACGACTTGTTCTGAAACGAATATCGAATACTGTACTATGAAATAACGCGTTGAATAAAAATAAACGAAAAGTTTCTATCATGCCACATTGTGTTGTTAGTCGATTTCAACAATGGTTATGGTTGAAAACATAAATTTTCTTGTAATATGAAATACTTGAAAGTAGAATAAATGATACATATTTTGATTAAAACCCATAAAACTTTAATTAAACACTAAAATTAAAATATTCAAACGTAATTCGACTTGATTATGTAACTATTGAATAACGACGATTACTATGATGTTTTTCAGATACCTGATACTGGAACATGTGTCAGGCGGTGAACTATTCGATTATCTAGTCAAAAAAGGAAGGTTGACGCCGAAAGAAGCGAGAAGATTTTTCCGACAGATAATTTCTGCGTTGGACTTTTGTCACAGTCATTTAATATGGTGAGCATCTGTTTTATTTTATTTTTATCGGTCAATAAGGGCGAGGATATTGTTATCAAATTACGTTTCTTGCGTTCAAAAATATACAGTTATTATCGAGCTTTTGACGTAACTGCGTCGAAGTGTGCACTGATTTGTAATTTAATTTTTAAAATATTTTATCGTGACGTATTCTTTATGCGCAACTACCAGTGTCCACGTATTGGCAAGTATTACAGGAGAATACACCATTAAAAAAAAATAAATCTGAAGAGTTTAATGATGTTTGTAGGTCATGTTTTATTACATATTTGCAATGATTTATGACATTAAGAATGTTTATGATATCCAAAGACGCAGTGGATAACCGAGTTAGATGAAATAAATTTCTTTCGAAAAAATTGAGAGTAGGTACTCGTAGAAAATATGATGATAGGATAAAAAATAATAATCATAAACAGTATAATATCGCATTACAGATGGTTGTTTAATTTGACGTGGTACACTAGACCACTCGGTTACGAGTCCGTCATACTCCGTAAGGCATACCTACAGATTGTATACCGTTAATGAGCCTACGTTACTCTTCGTCTTACATCTAGCACGATGTGATACATCGATTTTTAGTCACGTTATTCTATTTCATCACTCTACGCGGTTGCAAGTTCAACATTTCTTTTGACGCCGAAGTTTTGAAAACATGTAGCAGTATGCGATTTCGTTTGATTATGTGGACGAAACAAATAGTTTTAACTGAAATAAAAATATTTTTGTCGTATAACTGTTCGACCAAATGTTTCAAAAATTATGTATTATGCATAACTGTAACTTACAATAAGTGACATGGTCAAAATTTTTGAAAGGGTGTTCGTGGAAAATAGTATTATCTTATTGCTGTCGTTCGTAGTACTTTTACAATACGTGATATTTTATTATTGATTGCAATTTGTTTTGTCGTACCTGTCGAGGGCGTATGAAAATGAAGTACGATAAAATAATATTTCTACGATGAGTACTTTAAAAACGTGCATGATACATGAGCTTGTGAAAAAACCAACCGATAGGCGTAGCGTTTTAATAACGATATTATCATAATAATTATAGTTGTTATCTGATAACATTACTGGACTACGTGCTCATTTAATTTTTATTTATCGATTAGTTATTCATCAATGCTTAAAATGACTTGAAATGATTTTGTTGTTAAAATGTTTTAGCTTTTTCGCATAGAAAGAAAACATTTTATTTAATTATAACGCAAGCATGTCATATTATAATATATTTACCGTATAGTACAAGTACTGATTTTTATAAATACATTTTTATTTACTTAAAAAAAAAAAAAAAAAAAAAAGTGAAAATAGTGATGAAAGAATTTAGAAAAATTGAGATAGAGAGAGAGAGAGATAGAGAGAGAGAGAGAGAGAGAGATAGAGAGAGAGAGAGAGAGAGAGAGAGAGAGAGAACATAAAAATATATTGAACGTTTATAACTACCAAATTTTATCCGAATTACTTGGTCGGACTACATGGTAGCGACGTAACTCAACAGTATTAGAGTTGGAAAAATATTTTGGATAATTAATAATAGATGACGGATAAAGCTTAATGGTTTATAAGATACAACTACAAACTGTTGAAATAATAAGCTTGAATAATAATAAACGTGGTACAAAAACTATAATGATTATAAAATGATAGTGTTAAACGAAAGACACCACAACGTTCTTGATAATCACCAAAAATACAGAAGTAATAATCACGGTAGAAGTAATAAGCTTTTGTGTCAAAAACAAACACCCGTTATTCTTCAACATTTAGTTAAAACATAAAGTTTTAAAATTTTTAAACACTAAATATAAACATACCAGTACAGTACATACACATAGACACGACCTATATGGGAAGGGAATAGCTCCCTTACCTCCCTTGGCTACGCCACTAGTTGCGGAATTTTATGACAAACTGGTGTATACAGAGCCGGCTCAAGGCTGTTTATAGACACCTGCCTAGAGCGGCACTTTAGTAGGGGTGGCATTTTCAAAATTGACTCGTATATTTTTTTATTTCTATCGATCTCCGAAATCAATTCTTGAGTATAAACATATATAAAAAAATAAAAATTGATAGAAATCTACTCCAATACTTATGTGATATTAAGAATTATATTGACTTAACTTGTAACTGCTGCAATATTTGAGATGACTTTCACAAAACTTAAAATATTTGTGATCAAATATTTCTCAAGACCGATTAGTTAATCTTTCTACTGAAAACGAAATTGCTGAAGAATCAGACATGGACAAACTTATACAGAGCTTTGTTTCACTAAAAGTAAGATAAATCAATTTTAAATAAAATTAAGTTTTTTTCTTTTATTTTATCAATATTTTTATAATAATAAATATTTGATCATATGAATTCCTAAAATTCAAATACTTACACCTAATGACTTTATAATAAATTATATAACTTTACAAATTTGACGTTAAAATAAAAAAAAAATGTTTAAAAATATCCCGATAATCCCAACATTACTTGTTATTTCTTAAAAATAAAAAATTTAAATATTTTACATGTAGATATGTCACATAAAAATAGAGGGAGGGACTACTTTAGGATTGGACGTCAATTTTTTTTTTAAAGATTTCAAAATTTTATTTTGTCTACTAGTGCACTACATTTTCTTAAGTCGGCTCTGGATTTACGTAATAATTAGACCGGGAGCGTGCTGGCATCGTAGCCGCGATCATTAAATCCGTATATTTTTCCAAATACGATATGGTATTCCTTTCGACGGGCAGGTCCGACTGAAACTGGTAAAGGCGATTTATGCGAGTCGTGTTCGCATGTCGAATAAGCTAACAGTGGTGGTCCGTGCACTTGAGCTCGGTGAAACCGTGAGTAAGCAATGTGCTACAAATGTTTATAAGATCGATTCGATGTTTATAAACTGTTATTAGATACGCGTTGCTGCGAACAGACCGCCAATAAGTAGGCACGGATTTATGTGAAAACGAATAACTAATGGATTGTGCTGTTCAACGCGGCCTGTTCGTGTAGACGCAGGAGCATCTCAACACAGCATTCCCGCGAGAGTCGGTATGTGCGCTTGTGGTACGGGAAATAGCAGAAAGTTACAGCGGTTAAGGTCGAAAAGCGATTTGCAAAAAAAAAATAAAAAACACGCGTCTAATCGATGTCCGTACACACCATCTTGACAGTGACGCGGAATGAATGCGTATGCGTTTATCTCGTTCGTTTTTATTTGTCTGTCGAGAACACGGACAGGTAGCCCAATGGTCAAGATACAAATTCAACGTGACCCAAGAGAATAATATAACAGAAAAAAGAAAAATGATACGAAAATCGTACGGGAAGAGGAACGGGATTGCAACTAACTGGGAGAATAGTTTCTGCGTTGGTGATCAGCATCGTCCTTGTCTAGGCGGTGAGTCGAGGCGCGGAGGAAGGACTTGCCTAATGTGACGAAAGAGGAGGGTTTGTTAATAACGTACTCGAATCGTCGATAAATGACGTCTCGAGGTCTGATAAACTACAACAGCGGTTCACAATATTAAGATTACTAACGTATATATTGAAAATATTAAATATAAGAAAGTGAATAATATTTGCCGATTGGATTTTCATGTGATCAAACTATACGGTCGTTTTTTTAAAACTGCACCATTAGTGTCATTTTAATTAAATTTTTGGCAAGACTATCCAGTAATTGGTAAAATTGCTCTTAAAAAATTGATGGGCTATTCCGTGTGAACGAGTTCTTTCTGCATTATTTTTTTTTTTAAATAAATTTAGGAATAAACTGAATGTTGAGAGTGATTTAAGGCTAAAACCGTCCAGTTTTAATCCAGATATTGACTTTCCTGTGGGAGACAACCGATGTCAAAAATCACATTAAGTTGTTTAACTCTTGAACAATCAGGTTTAATAAAGTTTTTTTCTTGACAAACAATTATTTTTTTAATTATTTTTGCAATAACTGACGTATTCGTATACATTTATATGATTAAAGTTATATATATGTATAAAACTATTGATGGTCTTCATACATTTTTTTTTTTTTACGAAATTGGCGATCCGTACTACTGAAAAGATTTACTGATTCACCATATCGTGGTCACATGATTAGTGTGTTCGTCTCATCTTTCACTGTGACATCATCATGTGGTAACGTATCACAACCATTGTCGAGTACAATATCGCATCGCGTTCGCTCGTACACGTACCGTGCACACACGATAGGGGTGAATTAAACAATATACGTCAATTTATACGCTCGGAAAACGTTTCCGATAATCGATTAAGGGTGAATTTATTACGGTATACGGGGCGTAAAGACTGTGTTACTTAAAATATAATTCGATCTCACGGAACACATTGTTTGACTAGGATTATTATTAAATGTTTTCTGCCATCGGGTCGCAATAGCAAAGTGTTTACTATTCTAATTAGTATTAGAAATTTTTTTCTGGCAAAACCAATGAAACAAAATTACAATAGTTCTTAAGAGTTCTAATATACGAACAACTGACCAAATGTTTCCGCTCCGTACCGCGTGCTCAGACATAAAAAACACAGTACACATTTCGAACGCGTGAACGATTTGTATTTAGGTTACGGTTCCTTTTTTCGTTTTTTCATTTTTACTATTGACAGCGAAATGCGTGTCTGTAGAGTACGGAGAGCAATTTTCTTATGATCCCGAATGACGCATGCGATAACAGTGCGCGAAATGGGTCGATATGATAAACGAGAATAATATGATATAATACTAATACGCGATTTTCACATTTTAACTCTTTCGACGTTTTCGTTAATACGCAACTTATACTATTTTTTCGATCGAGTACTGTCATCCTCGCCACTACCTAGTTCATCCCTGATTCCGAGTCGATTATAAAGTATTTCTCGATATTTTTAATCGTCGGTACTGATTGCATTACTTTTTCTATAAATATTTAATCGGGTCGAGTGAGATGATCAATACACAGCGAATAA